AAATATCGTGAGAATGAGAGAAATTGCAACTCCAACAATATGTAAACAGAGAGAGAGCACCAAGGTAGATGTACTAGCAAGGTAGATCTAACAGGTAACCGCATCGGCGAATTGCTACAACAAAGCAACTTTTGTGGTCCCCTCAAATGTCAAAATTGACATCTAAGGCGAAAAACATAGATTCGCCATGACATTTAAAGGTTGCGGCAAATTTGTTTCAACCAATCAGAAACGAGGTGTTTGTTTACATTTTATTTTGTGTGCCTCTCGTCGTAAACGAACTTCGCAATAAAAGTTTTTATTGTAAAACAAATAAGAGTAAAATAAGTATTAATTGTAGTATTGCGATATTTTTTAAACCAAGAAACTTTTAAGACTATATTTTACTGGTTTAAACCGAAAGTTTTCCGGAACTGCAAATGACAAGAGTGGAATTCTTGCACTACTTCCCGTGATGTGCTTTGGGAATCTTAGATGTTGAGGCTAACTTAATTCTTAAAGCTGCACTCCATTCTATACTCCTTCCTTCATTTTCTTTTAATTATTTTTACTGGTTTCACTCTTAACTTGCTCTTATATTATTTGAAATATTACAAAAATATTTTTAGGGAAGACAACATAAACAAATTTGTTGTTGCATTCATTTAGGGCGAATTCTTCATTACAACAATTTGTTTTGACATTTAATGGTGCCGTCAGCTGGGCTGATGCGATTACCTAGTACACAAGGTAGATGTACTAGGTAATCGCATCAGCCCAGCTGACGGCACCATTAAATGTCAAAACAAATTGTTGTAATGAAGAATTCGCCCTAAATGAATGCAACAACAAATTTGTTTATGTTGTCTTCCCTAAAAATATTTTTGTAATATTTCAAATAATATAAGAGCAAGTTAAGAGTGAAACCAGTAAAAATAATTAAAAGAAAATGAAGGAAGGAGTATAGAATGGAGTGCAGCTTTAAGAATTAAGTTAGCCTCAACATCTAAGATTCCCAAAGCACATCACGGGAAGTAGTGCAAGAATTCCACTCTTGTCATTTGCAGTTCCGGAAAACTTTCGGTTTAAACCAGTAAAATATAGTCTTAAAAGTTTCTTGGTTTAAAAAATATCGCAATACTACAATTAATACTTATTTTACTCTTATTTGTTTTACAATAAAAACTTTTATTGCGAAGTTCGTTTACGACGAGAGGCACACAAAATAAAATGTAAACAAACACCTCGTTTCTGATTGGTTGAAACAAATTTGCCGCAACCTTTAAATGTCATGGCGAATCTATGTTTTTCGCCTTAGATGTCAATTTTGACATTTGAGGGGACCACAAAAGTTGCTTTGTTGTAGCAATTCGCCGATGCGGTTACCTGTTAGATCTACCTTGGAGAGCACAAAACACACCGAGAACGAACGTCGACGTTGACAGAGAGAAAAACATAACACCGGCATGAAGGAGACCGCAAGTGCATTTTTTTACAAGCAGTTCACATTATTAAGCATTAAATTCACAATTTCAACACTGATAACACTTTCAAAAGATATTTAGCACTTCAATTAATCACACTGACTCGAATTCACATGCAATAATTACTTAAAAATAACCGAAAATACCGAACGCGACGCGAGCAACTGATTTTGCAAACTGTTGCAATGAAAGTTCAAAATAAACTGAAGAAAATGAGAAAATAATGTTGTCAACTTTCATTTTTATATTAAAAACTTCATGCGAATGAAGTACAGTATGACTTCGATAAATAGCATGTTCGGGACTAGACGAGTTAAGGCGGGGTACAGCAATTTAAGTTCCTTCTTATAATTGATTATGAAAATATTTTGTTTTTAGTTTCAAAACAATATTACATAACCAAAATTGGCAGAAGTCGGGCACATTTAGAAAAAAAATTGTAATCAGCTGTTAGCTCTACCTTACCTTTTTAATGTACCATGGTTAAAAATATTTCAAATTCTCTTGTACCAAAAATTCATATTTTAAACTTAATGAGAAATAAATCTTACAATTATTGTTTATTATATTGTGGAAAATAATCGAATAATTCCATTCCTATTTTGTCGGACAACCTTTAGGTTTATCCGCCTAATAAGGGTACTCCCTAATTTTCGGTATTTTTAAAGTTTCTATCCCTACGTCTATGCATTGTGTGTACACAATAGATTATAAACCCTTTTCATAACCTCCACCACAGTAACACCTCGAAAAATATATTTTAGACCCACAATGTATATATATTCTGGATCAGCATAAAATTCTATGTCGATTTAGCGATGTCCGTACGTTCTAGCTTCCGACGAAAATAAGTAAGTTGATAAAAATAAATATTATGTCTGCTGGACTGCAGGTAATGAAAACGGGCTGCAGGTAGGTGCACGTTTTAGTATAGCCCCCATATAATGACACCTCCCTATTTTCGGTATTTTGGTGACTTAAGTGAAATTATTCACCGGAAATGTTTAAAATGTGGTATTTAAAGTTCGTAAAGGATATTACAGACTATGACAGGAAATTGTCCGTGAAGGTCCACGCCTTCGTACAGCCCCCATTTAACGGCACCTTCCGATATTCGGGATTTTAGCTACATTTTTTCCGGAATTGTTTCAAATTTGGTATTTGATATTCGTAAAGGATATTGCAGCCTATGACATAAAATTGTCTGTGCAGGTACACGTCTTCATAGATTCCCGATAGATTAAGACAGAAAATTGCCTGTGCTGGTCTAGGAGGTACCTATTCGGTATTTTGACGATTTTAGCTACATTATTTACCGATATTTTTAAGTTTCGTATTTGAATTTTGTAATGGCTTATGACAAAAATTCCTCATCGAATAGACCCTAATGTAAGCACAACATTCGGTAATTTTAAGATTTTAACAGAAGTTTTAATGGATTTTATTTATTTATTTATTTTTTTTTTTTTTTGAAAATTGCCAAATTGGTTCAAAATGGTTAAGGGTATTCAAGGTTCGGCCCTATCGAATCTACAACTTTTTTACTTGTTTTATTTTTCAAAAAAAAAATTATTTTTGTTCCATATGGAAGATACTGTGAAGATTTTAGAACATATTATAACTCTATATTCTGGGGTTTTATTTGAAAAATTACAAGGTTGGGTACTTCGAAAAGGGATTGCCCTATTGCCCTATTGGAATTGGAAAATCAGGGTATCTATATGCTTTCGATATGATTATCTACACCTAATAAGGTATACAAATTTCAAAATTGTCTCAATTATTATAATATATTTCAATTACAAAAATTTATTTTTTTGGTATTATTTCTATATATTTTCAACACACAAATAAATGTATTGTCCAATGTCTATCTTAAAATTGTTGAACTTTGAAGTTTCATATATACGACGTATTTGGGTAATTTCATATAAAAACATGTGTTTTACTTGTGTTTTGAAAAATGACGACTGAGTATGTCGAATTTTAGGTAAAGCTGATATATCTAAATTAGTTTTTGAAGTTTTTATAAAAATGGACTATAATTTTTGCTGAGATTTTTTTAGAAGCATTGCCTTTTTAACTAGTTTTTGTGAAAAACGTTTCAAGATATACATTAAATGTAAGAAATTGAATATTAAGGGAAATATTACTAACCCAAACTTTTGTCCCTCATATCTCCCTCTTCATGTTTTCAATTTGGACAATTTTCTATGTAGTTTAATTTGTTGTAGTTTTGCTTGTTTTACCTTGTAATTATTATACTATGACCTAAAATTTATGATTTATAGTATAATTTATATATTCAGTTATACCTGCCTAATAATAGCTATCCCTATTCTACGTATTTTGTTTACAAATGTTTAAATCAAAGTAAGTTGACAACATTGTTTTCTCCTATTCTTCAGTTTATTTTGAACTTTTGTTGCAGCCGTTTGCAAAATGTGATTGCCGTGACGCGTTCGGTGTTTTCGTGAAATTTAAGTATTTATTTAACATAAATTCGTGTCAGTGTTATAAATTTAACTGCGAAATATCTTTTAAAAATAATATTATTGTTGAAATAGTGAATTTGATGTTAGAAAATGTGTATTCCTTGTTAGAAATTAATTTGTTGTCTCCTTCGTGTTGGGTTTTCGTGTTTCTTTCTGCCAATGTCGTCGTTCGTACTCCGTGTGTTTTTTGCTCTCTGTTTATATTTTGGGCTTTTGATCTCTCTCGCTCTCGGATTGTGAAATTGAAAAGGTATGTAAAAGAATGCATTTTTTATATGGAGCGGGTCATTGGGCTTAGCTTATGAATGCATATTTTAAATTGTTACAATCGAAGAGGGAGGGTGCGTCTTTGTCTAATACATACGATATTATTTAAGAATTGAAATGAAAGAGCAAACGAAAATCGTTCATGGAGATTGGCATGTAACATTTGTGCAGGATAATTTTCATAGGGCTATATTTCTTTAGATTTACGAAACATTGAATTTTTCTTCAAAATAACATTGGTAAACCTAGGACAATCATGAGAATCGACATCATCGCTCGCTACTTGTTCCGCTATAACCCTGGTAGAAGAGTCTCATACCGCATTATCAGTCGAGTTGGCATTGAATTCTATGCAGGCATTTTTCAATGTTAAGAGCAACATTGCCTTTTCATCAAGTTTATGCCAATTCCCTAAACTTTTTAGATTCACAAAAATTTAAACAATTGAACATTTAGAGAAATTCTGTCGCTGTCAAAACATATCATATGTTTTGATCTCCCTTATGTTTCTTTTAATGCATACCATTTTCTGTGTGGATCTTATTTAATTCAATTTGTTGTTATTTTACCTTGTGATTATTATATTATCAACTAAAATATATTATTTATACCTCTCTATTAATGAACAAATATCTTGTAATAAACTAAACGCAAAAATGTCGTAGGGTAGAAACTTCCGCCCTGTTCTATTTTTGTTCCTAATTCTTAAATCAAAGTAAGTTGACATCATTGTTTTTTGCTTTTCTTCAGTTTATTTTGAACTTTCGTTGCAGCCGTTTGCAAAATGTGATTGCCGTGACGCGTTCGGTGTTTTCGTTAAATTAAAGTATTTATTTAAGATAAATTCGAGTCAGTGTTATAAAATTTATTGCGAAAAATCTTTTAAAAAATTTATTATTGTTGAAATAGTGAATTTAATCTTAGAAAATGTGTATTCCTTGTAAGAAATTAATTTGTTGTCTCCTTCGTGTCGGGTTTTCGTGTTTCTCTCTGTCAACGTCGGTGTTCGTACTCCGTATGTTTTGTGTGCTCACTGTTTATATTTTGGTCTCTTGATCTCTCTCGCTCTCGGATTGTGAAATTGAAAAGGTATGTAAAAGAATACATTTATTAATGAAGTGGGTTTTTCATTTTTTTAATGAAGGGGCTTAGCTTGTGAATGAGTATTTTAAATTGTTACAATTGTAGTGGGAGGGGTACATCTTTGTATAGGTACATCGATATTTTGTAGAATTGAAAGGAAAGAGCATATCGAAACAAATCGTTCATGGAGATTGGCATGTCTTTAAAATGTTAACATGACAAGTTACATATTTTCAAAAATTTATAATAATATTAGATTTTTGTTAGATAATTTTAATAATATTCTTATAGATCTTTGATTTTTGATTAATGTTGAGATTGAGAACAAAATATTTGAGAGATCTTTCAAAAATTTGATTAAAGACACAAATGTTTGCCCAGTAGTAAGTACCAAGCCCAATTTTTGTGCAGGAAGATCTATGAAAATGGTTTGGTTTTTACATGTGCAATAAGAAGCTAAGAATTCTATGGATACGGTTTTGAACAATTCATAATTCTTGAACCGAAAGTTGATGTTGTTGATATGTCTACCTACACACATAATGTCTTCGGCAATAATACTGGCAACGATTACAGGGTGAGATGAAAAAACTGCAACCAACTTCAGACTGTTGTCATATCTAAGCAACTCGTCCGATAGCTGTTAAAATTATTCCAGTGACAGCTCATTATATAGTTTACAAGCGTACAAAAACATTTTGGTGAGAATTTTCCAGAAAAAAGTTATTCGTAATGGAATTTAAGCGTGATAGTGCAATTTCTTTATATTTCGCTGGAAAACCACAAGTGGCTATCGTTAGAGCACTCCAACATTTAAATTTGAATAAATCTTTTGTGTCTCCCACCATCGCTCGTTACCGTGATACTGGTAGCGTAGCCCGACGTCAAGGAAGTGGGCGGAAGAAAACAGCAACATCAGCAGAAATGGTTCGAAAAGTAAAGAAACGACTTGATCGAAGCCCGCGTCGCAGTGACTTAAAAATGGCTCGTGAGCTTAAAATATCGCAATATTTCATTCGCAAATATTGAAAAATGAGCTCGGGGTAAAGCAATTCGAATTCCAAAAGTGCAAAAGAAAGAAAATAGACTTAAAAGAGCTAAAGAGTTGCTTCGCTTGGCTGAAAGTGGTGAACTGTCGAATTTGGTAAAAATTGATGCTATTTCCGACATTTTTTGTTTTCATTCGATAAAATTTAAAAAAAAGTTTAAAAACTATGGCGTTTGACTTTGTTGCAACTTTTTTTATCACACCCTGTACAACGTATGACAGAAAATTGTCTATTCAGGTTCAAGTCTTCGTATAGTCCACACATAGCGTTACCTCCCTTTATTCCGTATTTTGATGATATTGGGGACATTATTCACAGGATTTTTTCAAATGTTAGTATTTGAAGATATTAATTGGTGCTACAAAAATTACATAAACAGATGCAAGTCCTCGCATAACCCGCATATAACGGTACCTCTTGATATTCAGTTTTTTAATAATTTTAGGGACATTAGTCAACGGAATTGTTTCAAATTTCGCATTTGAAGTTCCAAATGGGTACTAAAACTTATGACAGAAAATTATCTATGTAGATTCTCGTCTTCGTATAGATCTAATATAACGGATCTCATTTAAGCGGCTGTTGTAGTTTTTCTGAAAAATTTTCAAATTTCTTCCAAATGGTGGAGGATATTAAAAGCTGTTTTTTACTTGTTTCTTCTATATATAAATCTCAGTTAACTATCAGAGGCTTGTAATAATGTCCCTTTGTGCATTAAACTTCAACAGAATTCAAATATTCTGTACAAATATTTCATTTGTCAACTGAATCCATCAGCCTTTTGTTTGAACGTCAATATGATTTGTCGAGTTCAGTTAATTTTGCAAATGAATCACACAAATATAGATTGATTCTTGAACATTTGTTTCCAGTTTCTCGCATTTTCAAAGGTCGTCCGTGTATATGAGCATTTTCATTTAAACGAATTGAAAAGCCAAACGAAAATCCAACAGATTAATAGTGTCATGTTGACATCAATTAAAAAAAAAATACCCAGGATTAACAGTGTTCCACGAACTGCATGATTGGGGGGAGAGCCTAGAGATGATGTTACTCCACACATCTAAAACTTCACCAATCATATTGATTGGAAATCTATTGCACCTTTGCCTTTTTTCGGACGGTATTCTAACACGGATACATTCTGATTGAATCAAATGGTATCATGCTTTAATAACTAAACGATATGAGAGTCCTTGCCAAAATCTGTGACTATTCTTCCCAAAATCTCTTCATTACATCCATGTTGGAATTTGTCATCTTGAGTGAAAAGTTTTGCCATTGCGATTATTGGAATGGTTCTTCAATGATGCTTTCTGCAAAGGATATCTAGTTTATGAACCTCCACAACTCTAGGATGTCTCCTCTGGTTCTTTATTAACTACAACTATTTTTGTTAACACAAAAAATTCTTGTGTTTACCCTTATGTGGTGGGGCGGGGTTGACAAATGTTTCCAATGCTGATGATGACGACGATGATGACAATGCTCTGTTGATGCCAAAAATTGATGATGACTTCTGGAAGTCAGTCATTCCTTTACTCAGTTAACTAGTCATTGTCGCATCTCCTCAACTAGCATTCGAACCATCGGAGCAGTTATAGTAAACTTGTAGTTCAGATGTTATTTTGATTCTTGTCGTTGCCGTTGTTTTTGTTATTGTCCTTAACTCTAGTTAGTTAGTTAGTTAGTTCATGTTAATTGCTAATTGGCACTACAAACATTGACTCAATGGCTTTAACGAATTGGCCAAAAAAAACTGACAGGGTGTATCATCTGCACCATGGAAAGCTTTACCAGGAATTTTGGTATTAACAATGTTATCATAAACGTATGTAGTGCATGTTTGTGTGTGTATGTGTTTGCAAATTAATTTGAAGGATAACAAGTGTAAGGGAATTATGTTAATCATGGGATTGTGAAAAAAAGGGGATACTAAAGTTCGATGTTATGATTTTAGTTTGGAGAGATTTAGGATTTAGAAACTAAAATTGAACCAAGAGAGTATCAGTTGGGTGTGGGTCTCGGTTGGATCCAATACTATCAGGCGGGGTATCGGAACACAATAATATTATAAAAAATTTGAAATACAGCCCAACAAAAATTCCCATTATCAAAATATGGCTTCCTTAATCCATTTCTGGTCCATTGTTTATTTTAATTTTGCAAGGTAATATCCCCCAAAATAAGTAGTTATTTTTGTTCAATGTGGAACAGGGTATTATGTCTTTATGCATTTATTTGTAACAGGCAGTTGGAAATGAGATAGACCCATAGTTTATTTTTATGATCTTCATACAATCACATTCTAAGTCGATTCCCAACTTACCAAAAATACAATACAGCTTGAGAATAATATTATGAAAATAGTTTATCATAAGAATTTTTCAACAATGCAAGGGAAACACTTTTTTGCACAAAATTTTGTAATTTAGGACCATTTCCGGACGAAACTCTAAGGTAATGATGAATAATAATTCTGGGAATCTGTAGTATATATTATTTCAATCTCATTTCAGAATAGAGACGTCAAAAAAGTTGCAAGAATTCAAGAGAAGTGAAGAATTAGTGGAGGAGATGCAGAAGCTCAAATAATGGGAAAGAAAGCATCTAGGTACCAAGGCAAAAGGAGGCAGTGAGAGTCAATGAATGAAATGTGTAAAATAATTAAAAAAAATGAAAAAATAACTATTTTATAACATTGAAAAAATAAGCTTGATATAATAATACTTTCGTAAGCTTATTCTGCAATTACAAGAATAAGCTTATGAATAAGGGTTCCGTTTCGATTATTCTATAATTGTTAAACAAGCATTTCTCAATACATTCTCAAGATTTTCTTAAGCTTAAGGCTTATGTTTGTAAGCTTATTAAAATATTATTCTCAAGTCAATTTGGTATGTTGGGTTTATTCATGTTCATCCTTCTGTCTGCCAGTCTGTCCATGTATTTTTGTAAACAATGTACAGGTATTAATTATTAAAATTTTAATTAAAATTATTAATTAACAATGTACAGATATTACGTATTAATTGTCCAATTCAGATGCAATTTTTCACAAATCCTATGTTTTTCCCAAGGACGAATCCTATTGAAATTGGTGAGAATCGGATAAGATTTGGATATAGCTCCCATATATCCGATGTCCGATTACATAAACATTGTACACCAAATCCGTAATATCAGTCCGAATCAAATATATTTTAGCACACAAGGCCAGATTCAGTCCAGAAGTAGGTCTGGCAATTTTGGGAATATTGATTCAGATTTAGCTATAGCTCTCATATATATTTTAGTCCGATCTCAAGTTAATTTTGCGCAATATATGTAATGTTCGTCCAAATGAAGTGGATTTAGAGAAAATCGATTCAGATACAGCTATAGCTTCCATATATACGTTTCATCCGATTCTGTGTTTAATTTTGGTACTAAATATCACTTACAGCTCAGAAATACCTCTGACATATGGATCGATATCGGTACAGATTTGAACATAGCTCCCTATACATATCTTGATCCGTTTTGACCCAACAAATTAAATATATTCTGTATCAGTGAAAAATTCTAAGTCGATTATTCGATGTCCGTCTGTCTGTCCGTCGGCCTCTTGCAATCACGCTATCTATCGAACGAATATAGATAGAAGGCTAACATTTTGGTAGTTGGTTAGGTTAAGTTCGTAAATGCGTCCTGTAGGTCCATGTTTTCGTATGGTACCCATGTAAAAGTTCCTCCCATTATTCGACATTTGTATGGTATAAGAGACATTATAAACTGGAATTGTTTCAAATTTCATATTAGAAATTCCTAATGGATACTACAACCTATGACGGAAATTTTTCTATGTGGACCTACATTATCACCTTAGCACCCACATAACGATACCACCCAATACTCGGTATTTTGATGATACTGGCGAAATTATTCAGCGCAACTGCTTCACATTTTGTATTTCAA